CGCAAGCTCGTCAGGTTTCTCCGATGCATCATCACCCTTTGTACGCGAGTCTGGCCCAGCAACCCCTTTCAGGCAAGAGTTCGGTATCAACACTTCGCCTAACCGTCGAGGGTCTGAGACTAGTGCAGCCACTTCTGGTTCGCGGAGAGGTAGTGCTGTAAACATCCCCAACCCTCAGCACGCGGCTGAAATACACAGAGTGGATTGGTCTCAGAGTGACCAGCCAGTCAAGGTCCAACGAGATTCAAAGTGGGGAGGCCTCAAACATCGAAAGACTAGTTTGAGCCAGCAGAAGCCCAACGCTGAGGACCAGGGTTCCAATTTTACCAAGACAAGCTCACAGTCATCTGTTTCTCCAAAATCGCCCAAGTCTGGGTTCCTGCGTCGATTCATGCATCAGCAAGGGAAAGAATGCGAATGAGAAGAGTGATTTGACAGGCAGATGGTATATATGGAGGAGTGAAGACAACTCACCAATGATTATTGTGACATAATGACCGAATACTAAACATGAAGGAAAATCTTAATATACGACCTCCATATTCAAAAAAGTATCTTCAGTGTGATTTGAGATATGATTGGAACCAAAAAAGGAACCAAAGAGGGAACCAAAGAGGGAACCTAACGCTTTTCTTGCGCCATCAAGCGCTCGATAAGTTTTGTATCCTCTTGTGCCATTTTCTGCCGAATGATATTGTCGACGTCTGTTCGTGCATTCTCGGTGTTCATCAAGTGGAGGATAAGCTCTGAATACTCGCGTATAGCGTCACCCTGCTCACCGTCCGCGCGACGAGCCTTGCGCAAAGCCTCTTTTCCGTTCTGGATACCAATGTCATGGTTCCAAGCTTCTTGCTTTGGTGGCAGACCCTTGAGGAGGGAGGCGGGGATGGCAGACTTGGCCTCAGGAGGTGGAAGCGTGGCAGCATCTATTTTGCGGAGTTGGTCGGGAAGGCTTGGATATTTGCGAAAGAGAAGGCGAAGTTTCTCTGAGCTTTCGAGAGCCTGGAAGGGATTCGAGGGGTCGGGGAGCTGAGGCAGTGATGTTGCTTGCGACTCGGAGAGTGCCGACTGAGGCGCTGCTGGTGCGGGCTCGGGATCAGGAGGGTGATTTTCGCGATGGATCTTGTTGCAAGCAACAGAACAGCTTTGACAATGGTCAGCGTGACTGCGGTACCGCCTGAGATGTGAAACCTACTATGGGAGGCGGCATCTTGGACATTTGTATTTCGGAGCGTTCACTTCACATACACCACACAGTGAAGGATCTGGTTTTGTTGTCGCATTATCGCCGTCTTTCGCTTCAGCTTGTGTAGTTGGCGTAGCAGTGTCTTCTGGGCGTTGGGTTGGTAGATCATTTATTCCCTGAGGTTCTGACATTGTGATATCTTATGCGGTCAAGGAGTAGTAGGTACGAAGGTAAGGTACCTTGATTAAGGTGAAAAGCAGCTAATGTGATGGAACCCAAGGTCGGATGAAGGTACTGTACTGTATTCGAAAGGGTAAAAAGGTACAAAAAGTTTCAGTTCCAAGGGGTCTGTCGCCCCGCGTCATTACCCGCTTGACATTTTGGACCCCAGCAATTGCTAGCAAAACGAAAAGAAAGAAAACAAAAAAATTCGAGGTAGAATGCTGGTCCGTGCGCTTCCATCGGGACTTTAAATTTGGCCCTTGATATCATACGTAGCTCACGCATTACTAATGCTCGGACCTATCACGGCTACCCTAGGTAGGTGAGTGAGTTTAACAAGCACCAAGTTGGAGCGGCGAAAAGTTGCTTTCTAGCAGACCCGTCAACGCCGAACCTAGCCTGCCTTTCTTTTCAATTTATTTCTCATCAAAAAACCCATTATCTTGAACCTTGTCCTCTTATTAGAGTTGAACCAGTAGCATCCTTTCTTTGATATATCTATCTTTAGAGCCTACCTACGTCATGGCAACTTCAAGAGCCATGTCACGGACATTGGCTGCTGTCTCTCGGCCCGTCGCAGAGACATCTTGCCGAGGAGTTCAGCGATGGACTCGTTCAATCAGTACCGTCCGATCACACCTTCTTGTCGGTTCTTATACTACACGGCCCCTCGCACAACGACAGCGCAATATTCCAACAACCATACCTAGCCTCGCCGGTGTCGGTAGCGGGATCCGAACCATCTTTATCCAGACGGAGAACACCCCGAACCCAGATGCCCTCAAGTTTCTACCGAACCATCGAGTTGTGCCCGAGGAGCTCTCTACGCCTTTTATTGAGTATCTCAACCCCCGAGCAACCATTTCTCCGCCGTATCCTTCTCCACTCGCTGCCAAGCTTATGAATATCGATGGAGTTACGTCGGTCTTCTACGGCGCCGATTTCATTACTGTTACCAAGGCTGCCGATGCTAATTGGGCACATATTCGACCGGAGATCTTCGCCCTCATCACAGAAGCCATCACTGCAGGTGAGAAGATCGTCACTGTCTCCGAACGTCGAGAAGGCGACGCCGCCGAGGAGGAAGATAGCCTTGCGTACAACGAAGACGACAGTGAGGTTGTTGGTATGATCAAGGAGCTTCTTGAGACGCGAATTCGACCAGCTATCCAGGAGGATGGCGGCGACATAGATTTTCGAGGTTTCGATGACGAGGGCTATGTGCATCTCCGACTACGAGGTGCCTGTCGTACGTGCGATTCCAGCACTGTCACCCTCAAGAATGGAATTGAGGGCATGTTAATGCATTATGTAGGTTCCCCATTGTGACTTACGCCGTGCTGTCTTAGGCTAACGCAACTTTCAGATTGAGGAGGTCAAAGGTGTTAAGCAAGTGATGGATCAAGAGGAGGAAATTGCTTTGCAGGAGTTCGAAAAGTTTGAGGAAAAGCTCAGGCAGCAAAAGGGCACCGCCAGCTCGGCAGCATAGAATGGCTAAAACAAGGATTATCCTTATATGTATAATATTTTGGTGGCAATTTGATGATACCCACGGAATCTATCCCCTCGCCTATCTTACCATTGTAAAGCGCTGGGGGAATGCCTCTAATCACGATTCGACGTTCGGATCAAGACTTCTTGTGATTGGAGATGCGCATGTACGGCATATCGGCCCTGTGGCCTATTTTCGAGAGCGGAGTTGCTTGTCAGTATCGGATCTAGTTGAGGACTAATCCCAACTGAAAATAGAGCATTGTATAACCCAATCGAACAAGCCAGGGATAGTCGCATCACGAGAATGCCGCTGCTACCATGCTATGCCCATTACTGCAGGAGCTCTCGAGATGGACGACAGGATTTCCAGAAAAGATAGGATTAGTCGAGGTTTCGTTGTTTGAAGCAAAGGGGTTGGTGGAAACAGAGATCGGAGATCAGCCTAAAGCTGACGCTTTGGGAACATTGTTGCGAGAGAAATGACACCTTCACCATGCCAGCAGCGTTTGGAGGTCGTACTGCCTGCTTGCGCTTTGACAAACACTGGCTGGTAGGGACTGGGTTGTTTCGTATACGATCCAGATATCACAAGACGGCCACCTTTTATGTATTGGGAGACTCGTGGTTGACAAAACGGGCGGGAATGCCGTGTCTGGATTGGACAGTAAGGATCTGGCTTTGACATAGTCCGATGTTTCGAAGAGTCTATAAGTGCACCAGGATGTTCCAAAGGGATATCATCCGTAAGTCGTGGGGTATTGGCGGGGTTTGAAATTGCCGTCAACGAGCCTTATACGCGGATGTAAATGTAGATGCGGGCGCGTTGATCTCCTCGGTACCTCCTTGTCTGTCTTTGTACGGCCAACAATGCATGGACATCAATTGACCGCAGCCTTCCAGGAAAGACTGGTTTGAGAAGTTGGCAGCTGACTTAACGAGACTTCAGATGTTCTTATGACTTTGAACTGTCGAAAAAAAGATCCGCAACGAGCTGTAGGGGACCCCAGTAGCGATAGACCATCCCCCACAAACATGACCTATACCTGGTCCACCAAGACTTTGGGTCTTTCAGAAACACACGCTAGATGGTATAAATCCGAAGAAACAGCGTCGCGAAATGCTCGAGTACACTGCAATTGGCCCGGTTGGCGCGATCTGGAAGCTCTCCAGCAGGGTTCATTTTCGGCGTAACACTGTCTTGAAAGGGTAACGTTGGGTCAGATAATAAACTACGAGAATTGGATATTGAATTTGGACCCGCCGACAGCTCCAACTGCTGGATTAGCCGTACCAGTTAAGAGACGCCCTGAATACCCTTGGCTCCGCCGGGAGAATGTCACAAGTTGATGTCGACGAGATTCTGCGTTCCGGTGGATGGACATGCAGGGCCGGAGAGCCGCCGGCATCATTATCGTGATGCAGTGCCTAACTAATAGTGAAAGAAAGCCCTGCAGTAATATGCCGGGAGCCCTCGTGGATGACCATGTAGGTATGTCGCTCCTCTGCTCTGCTCTGGACTGCAAGTACAAACAATCAGGCACAGTGCTCACAGGCATGGACCGGATATCTATCCAGAAGAAGCTTGTCAAGCGACCGGCAAAAAGCTGGAGAATGAATTCAACCGCGAATTGAACTTAGCTGAAGAGAAGCCACTTTGCACTAGAAGCCCGTTGCGGTGGGATGGCGTCTTGGGATTCTCAGATCCTGTTTCTGTGATTGGCGCGGGAGTCAATATGCAGTGAGCGATACAGCCTCCACCGAGGCAAACCCCACAATCCCCTCATACCTAGTGAGCGATGTGCGAGAGCTGTTGGCGTGTACGGATCTCGAGGCCCTGCGTTATTGTTTCAACGTGGGGAATAAGTTTTGCCTTGGTGCCAGGCAACCAAACATATACCGGGCGATAGCAGAGCGCATGACCCCAAATTTTTCTCCGTGGGACAATTGGGTATGATTTAAAAAGACCCCTTTGCGCCTCGGTCTGGACGGGTTCGTTACCTCGACTTGTGTCTTCTTTAAGCCCTTCTTGTACTCAAACGTCTTACAGCACTGATATCAGACCCCAGCCGCACGAAGTAACACACACATATCGCCCACCATGAGCCCTTCAGCAGTCGAAGGAAACGGGGTCGCAGACATCAAGACGACTCTCAAGCCTAACATTGGCGTTTACACCAACCCCAACCATGATCTCTGGGTAACGGCTGCTGAACCCTCTGCTGAAGCCGTCAAGTCCGGCTCCGACTTGAAGCTTGGTGAGGTCAGTGTTGCTATCCGCAGCACTGGTATTTGCGGGTAAGTTGCCATCAATCATGTTCTGACCCCGCCTCACCTAGAGCAACCGCTGACCGGGGTATAGTTCCGATGTTCACTTCTGGCATGCTGGTTGCATCGGTCCTATGATTGTCGAGGGCGACCACATCCTGGGCCATGAGTCGGCTGGCGAGGTTATCGCCGTGCACCCTTCTGTCAGCCATCTCAAGGTTGGCGACAGGGTCGCCGTCGAGCCAAATATCCCCTGCGGTACCTGCGAGCCCTGCCTTACTGGCCGATACAATGGTTGTGAGAGCGTCCAGTTCCTGTCGACACCACCTGTTCCCGGCATGTTGCGCCGATATATCAACCACCCGGCTGTCTGGTGTCATAAGATTGGAAATATGTCGTTTGAGAACGGCGCTCTCCTTGAGCCCCTCAGTGTTGCCCTTGCTGGCATGCAGAGGGCCCAGGTCGCCCTGGGAGACCCTGTCCTGATTTGCGGTGCTGGACCTATCGGGCTGATCACCCTTCAGTGCTGTGCCGCCGCAGGTGCTTCTCCTATCGTCATCACTGACATTTCAGAGAGCCGGCTGGCATTTGCTAAGGAGCTCTGCCCTCGCGTGACTACACACAAGGTCGAGCGACTGTCAGCTGAAGACTCCGCTAAAGCAATTGTTAAGAGCTTCGGAGGTGTCGAGCCCAGTGTTGCGCTGGAGTGTACCGGTGTCGAAAGCAGTATTGCCGCTGCCGTCTGGTCAGTAAAGTTTGGCGGCAAGGTCTTTATCATTGGCGTCGGAAAGAACGAGATCAACATTCCCTTCATGCGCGCAAGTGTACGAGAAGTCGACATTCAGCTCCAGTACCGTTATTGCAACACCTGGCCCAGGGCTATCCGATTGATTGAGAACAACGTAGTTGACCTCTCAAAGCTCGTCACCCACAAGTTCAAGCTTGAGGATGCCATCAAGGCGTTTGAGACGTCGGCAGATGCCAGGAGCGGGGCCATCAAGGTCATGATCCAGAGCCTGGACTGAAGATGGGGTAATGATGAACATAAATTTGGTGCTCGGCGTATATTTTTGATTTCTAGGCGCGGGTCCGTCAGAAGACCGTACAAATAGCCTCTATTCGGGATATAGACATGAGAATATGAAGTTTGGTGAAGAACTTTTGGCGATGAACTGGTGATATTAATATGCACATAAACTGGATAAGAAAATGACGAATACCTACGCCAATGCCAGCTTGAATTCAAAACGAGGAAAGCAACACCTTTGACTACTGTCCTCGAGCAGTAAACTCGTTTGGGGAGATATAGCAGTGAAGATGTATATAACTACCTAAATAAATAATTCATTTTGCCAGCGTAGGTAGGTAGGTGTAGGTAGACCATTCAGCGGCAGCGCGGCTAGCAAGTCCGAAAACGGTCTAGTGTCTTAAGCCGTCGGCTACAACCACCATCCAGCGAGTTCTTCCGAGCTTTTTTTCTCCCTCAGACGACCTCACTCAAGATCAAGACCCAGCTTCGACTCCATCAATTGACCACCCGCCGCCGGTCTTTCTACTCCACGGAGCTCCGATATCGAATCTACGAGGCTTCTCGCACTCTTTTACTGCCTTAGCCGTCGCCATGTCTTCTCTCGCCCGTCCCATGCTCCGTTCGCCCGCTCTCCGCGTCGCCGCCCGACGCTTCGAGAGCACCGCCACCCAGAAGGCCACCGAGAACGCAAAGCAGGCTGCCTCCAAAGCCACCGAGAATGCTAAGCTGGCTGCCTCAAGGGCCCAGGAAGGTCTGTCGCGCGTCACAACCGCTGCTGGTCCTGCTATTGCTGGTTACGCCAAGGGCGTTGCCAGCACTCTGGGCAAGGTTGGCGGACGAACGGGCAAGGTCATCGGCTTCATTGAGCGTATGTGGATCACTACAAAAGTCACAACCGGTGGTCATTGAATGCTGACATTGTAACGCAGGACAAGTCCCCTTCGTCGTTTACTACTCCAAGGTCGCCCTCGAGCTCGGCAAGTTCATTTTCCACAACCAGAAGATGAGCCCTCCGTGAGTTCACACGACTCCTACTTATGGCGGGGCACTGGCTAATTTACATCTTGCAGCAACCTGGCCACCTTCCAAAACACATACCAGAGCATTATCAAGTCCATCCAGAACCGTACCATCATCCAGTCTTCTCAGAACGCCATCCAGCAGGTACGGAATATCGGCCCTGCTCAACTCGCCGCTGGCGGTGTTGTCGCAGCTGAGGTACTCGGATTTTTCACAGTCGGTGAGATTATTGGACGATTCAAGCTTGTTGGCTACCGTGGCGAGGCCTCTTCCCACCACTAAATGTGTCTCTTGTAGTAAGGAGCAGGAGTTGTAAAGATGGATGAGTGCCGGACGATGTGATAACAAATAAAGGATGAGTGGGCTTTAGACTTGGTTCTCCCCGGCCGAGGACGCCTGAAAAGGGCTGGTTGGAGACCGTTTGTTTGGGGGGGAGTTGAAAACTGGGAGACTTGGGAATACCGGTCTCACCGGAACTGTGATGTTTGTCCTCTGAGCACTTTTCTTTTGTAGAACTGTACATCAACCAGCCTCTGGCGGGCTGCCCCCTTCGTGGACAGCTTTCAACAATGATATTTTTAATAACTGTATGAGCCTTCGTGTGATAAGTCAGCTGTTCCTTAATTGTAGTCGTCCTAGTAGCTCACATAACTTATCATAGACTATCTGCTACAGTCTGATGTTACTGACTTACTCTCAAGCCTCGTGGTGTGGTTTAACGGAGGTGGCTTAAGTCATAAACGATCGGGCACTGCTGGAATGAGCTATTGCTATTGCTTTGCCTATAGACTTTTATCTTTATTTTTAAGAAAGTAAGTTGATTTATGGAATTGTGCTTAAAGAAGCCTGTCGCTTAAGTTCTATAACCAAGAGTAATGACTCAGTTGTTGAGTCCTAGGAGTAGAGTGTCACTTGAGAATGGGCCATTATGACTACAGTTGGCGTTCGTATAAGGTCTTCTTGGTATGTGGTCCCTATGGTGGCAATGCTTTTGAAGACAGAAGATGTCTTTCAATACGTACCTTGTTTCCGATGCAAAAGGAGGCTGCAATTGAAGGGATTCGCACGAGCAAACGCATCTCGCAGCCCTACATACAAGTTCACAACTTTCATGTCCATTGGACGTACTTTATATGTATATGGCAAACATTCATGGAATGGTAAATGTGTAGCACGATTCATATTGAACGTATTCATATATTTGTATGAGATTTTGGGGTTATCATGGCTGAGCTCTGCAAAGCTCCCACATCGATTTGCCAGACGATAGCTGCAAATATGAATTTCCTCAATCTCCGGAGCGAGCTGATAACCCACGATACCTGAAATGAGCAAACTAGCTCACTGAGGCAAGTCTTGCGAAGGACGTGCTCAATCCTCAGTTGCCATATCAACTTCTTTGTCATAGCTTGATGAACCTCGAACTTGTCCACCACCTTCTGCTTCTGGAAATAAGGACAGATATGGGGTGTATAAGCCCTTTCTTCGATATTACCTCCTCCACACAGAAGAAGTCAATCAGGCGCCTAATAGACGACAGAATGACGGACCACAAGAACAGACGTGGGAGTCCAGCCGCGCGCGAAAATAAGATATGGGATACACACACGGAGCGCAGGGCGATGCGGTTGAGTATCCCGTATGATCCGGACCCTGGCCGATGTTGAAGGCCCGTCCCGACGCGCGGACCTAGGATATTATGGAGTCCGATATTGGCCCTTGGCAAAAACGGCGTTATTCCTACCAGCGCTTCTGTCGCAACAGGTAGCAGAACCCTTGCCAGCGAAAGCGAGCGCAGATAATATGGCCCTTGGCAGATGATTGTGGCCAGGTGACCATTATCTAGCGGTCAGACAATTTGACAAGATCGACAGCCTTGTTCAGGATGGTGGACTGGTTGATGTGATCAAGACCCCGCCCGCTGTTGGTGATACAATTGAGGATCCTTGCCTGTTGGTGACCGTTGGAACCATGCTGCCATTGAGGTAAGGCGTCTCTTCAAATTCAAGGGGCCCCCGGATATGGGAAGCGAGAAGCACTGCAGCATTGGGAAATCGTGGTACCATTTATGGATCGTCAGGATGCAGTTGCGCGTAAAAGCGCTGGCGCCGGCGCTTGAAACCCTGCCAGTTCACCAGGTCGATTTGGATTTGAAACCATGTCATTCCCCAAATCGACGGACCGATGGCTTCACCACGCTCTTCGGCGTAATATGCCTTGAACAATGCGTATCAGTATTGCCAAGACTGTTCGTATTCCTTGCGTTGTGCGGTGAATACCCCCGCTTGAATGAGGATTTGGCGTTACTGTTGAGGCCCGGGCTTCCTAGCCGTCCAGACATGACTGCGAAAGCGTCAGCAAGTCATCAAGTGCGGCGGTGGGAGGTGTTTTTAGACTCACATATTACAATAAGTGTGATAGCGCAAAACGCACGTCTCGCGCTTCGCTCTCTCACATAGCTCACGAACATCCTCGGCCTCGAATCCGAGTTTCTCGATTAGGGGTTTTAGACTCATGGCCTCCAGACTATGAGACAGTCCGATATTGAACCATCGGGCGATTTCACGTTCGTTTCGATCAGCGGACCAGGGGCAAACATAAGCCTTGATCACCTCCTGCCTGACATCTGTGAAACCTGTAGCCTCGAGCATTTGCCGATGTTCTTGCGGTGTGACTCTGACACTGCGGTTGAATCGATCCATGCCATCGAGGAAAAGCTCTGCCCACTTCACAAATGCGGAATTTGCTGGGCGCTCATCATCGTCACATCGGGGTATCCAGTCAACCTCAATGTGCTCCAGGAAGCCGACGCCTGGAGTCAAGTGCCTAGTGAAGTATCAGTGCGATGCTCAAAGAGGTAGTTCCGAACATACTCAAAGGCATTGTGGTAGACTTGAGGCCACAAGTCTGTTTGAATACTGCCAAGTAACATCCGCATATGAATCAAGTCGCAGTCCGCCAGTAGGGGCCCCCAAGACGGTTCTTCAATGTCATACTGCTTTGGCATAAAGCCAGGAGGTATCCTATTTACATTAGCTCATGGCCAACAAAGAGCGAGTGTGAGCCTACAATGCTGGTTGAATCTGATTCAGGTCTACGGCCATGATCTGGGCATCTGAGAGACATCTTCTTTGGGTCAGCAACGTGGTGATAAACGAGATCAACGGCACAGGCATTCATACTCTTCGGCCACATTGATTGCCCAGATACCTGTTCCCGTACCGATATCCATGATTCTGGGCGAGGTCCGTCTGATGGGGGCTAGAAATGGCTTATTGTCTCGTGCCAGAAGGAAAACTTTATGAAATATATCCAAACGATTCAGCTCTTCCTGTTGCTGGTCAGGTGGCGTATAACATCTTAATTTGCAGACGACTTACTGAGTCAATTGGAAATAAGTATTTGCCAGGTTTCCAAGAGCCATAAAAACGGCCATGTTGCCAGACTCCATCTTGAAGGTATCGCCCTCCCGACTCATTCACACTGCATTACACATGTAAGATTGGCTGCACCACAAAGAACTCTATAGCATACCTGTTTTGAGGAGGCATTACAACCATCGATAAAAACCGTCGAAGCTGCAATGTCCCAATGAAGCGCAAGGCCTTACACGAGGGCCACGAGGCAAGGCTGCAGCAAGACGTGAGTTGCCTGTGGGAGACGACACAGATAACCCGGGCTGTGCTTTTGAATCCAGATGAGCCAAGTTTTCCAGTTCTGGTGGAGAAGATCGCTGCGAGAGTTAGCAGACGCACGAAAGTGAAGAAGACAAGATCCACCAGGTGAAGTATGAAGAAAAAATAAAGCGAATGTTGGCGGAGGAATGAAGGTGAGAAGCAATGCGGGTCCAACATGATGAGAACCTAATATTCTCAAGGGAAGGTGATATTTAAGTTGTCAGGACAAGCCCAACATGCTTCGGGCACATTGGGACTCAATGGGTTGTTTCAACCAAACTTGAGGATCGCCCGCGCATACACACTAACACAACCAACCCAAAGAACCTCGACGGCGATAAGGGCGCGGAGGACACAACATTACAGTCGTGTTTATAGCGGCTCCTCTGGACCAAACCAGAGAAAGCATCATCCAATGGTGTTTATGACCATATTTGAGTTGACCGAGAGTCCTGAGGGAGCAGAAGGCTTGAAAAGAAAAGAGAGGGTAGGATGTCTGAGAAGCCTAAGGATGGACTCGCACAGGCGGTTTATAGTATGAACTTACCAAATATGAGCGAGTCCAGAGGCCGAAGCACGTGTATTAGAGAGACCAGAAGCCGTCCAGGAAAACGCCAAGAACGTTATGGAGTGTCGAATAAGAGGTTGAGAAGATAAATTTACGCGAATCGCAAGTTCACCCGAGGTGAAACGTCGGTGTCAGGACTTGAAGATGTTGTGCTGGGCGTAGGTTGTGTATATATATAATGCAACTGGACAGAAGGCCTCCTGGATGCATTCCAATTTCAGTTTCTGTATCGAGAATACGGCCAAGTTGGCTCAGGAGAGAAGAAGACTGGAGACGGTTGCAAGATGAAGGGCTCAACTGAGATGAGTCTGAAGATTGTAGGAGGAGGGGTTTTTGTTCTCTCGTGATCCTCTTTTCGAGACTTGTGGACCGAAAAGTTTGAGTCCAGGTGATCGCCGAGTAGTCAATTGAGGTGATAGAGAGTCGTAGCTGGAGGTAAACGAATGCAAAGGGCATTAAAAAGGTCATGGGCAAGAAAGAAGCCGGAAAAGATGAGGAGGATGGTTGTTGATACTTATTGTCGCCAGCAAGAGTGTGGAGCTGGAGCGTGGGACATGGATACAGCTAAGGTAGGTACCTAGCTCTAGTAACTTACAGCACCGTAGGTTAGTAGCTTAAGGCAAGGCAAGCTAACAGGGCAAGGCGAGGCAAGGCAGCCCTAGGCACAGCGTTAGATGTACAGGTACGGGGTACGGGTACAGGTACAGAGACAGAGGCAGAGGCAGACCGAGACAGAGGCAGAGACAGAGATGGATTGGATGGATCCAATGGGTCCTACCTAGCAGTTTAGGTGGACGTGGGCTGGGACCTTGGACCTTGGACCTTTGGACCTTTGGACCTTGAACCTGTGGGTGTGTGCCCCTCGAGGGTTCGCCCCTCTTCATTTTTGCATTACACCCCCTGTTGAGATGACGGCTGTTGGTCGAGTCCTGCTTGTTATTTGCATTGTGATTATTATTATCATGCGCCTCGAAAAGCGGTCGAAGCCTTGTGTTACCATCCATCCCTGAGGAATCTTTCTTTGTCATGGCCATGAGAACCGAACACCTCAGACAGGCAGCCCACGGCACTATTAATTAATTTCAACTACATACATACAGTATTGACCAGCCCGGGACTAAGATGGGCCGGGCTGAAAATAGATCAGAATCGTAAACTTGCCCATTCACATTCCGATCCCCAATCTCACTAACAAGTAAGGTACCAGAAAGCGATCAAGAGGATATCCAAAAACTTGCGCCAAGGGTGCCGCTAAATGGTAGGGTCAAAGTACCGTTCCGTATCAACATCAATCACAATGGAACCCACACACAGCTCATTCAGAGGGGGCAACCAACCAACCTCGATATCGCTGGGCTACGCTACGCTACCTACCTAGGTACCTAGTTAGCGGGGCTGATGATGGATGGATGGATTTCGTTTGAGAACCACTTGTTGTGTTTTATTAATGCAAGGAACTTAGCCTGCCTTACCTACCCGTCCATACTGTACCTATAGTACCTACATACCTACATACATGCGTGCGCTCACTCGCTGTATCTGACTGACAGCCTTTGGCTCTGGAGTCTTGGACCTTCTGCAGCACCTGCAGCGAACTCCTTCATCGCGTTCCCTGGGCTGGCCTCCCCAGCCGGCCTGTGACGTTGGTTTCCATGGTGTAAATGGTCTCCCGAGGAGGTCTTGTTATTCTGCAACACACGATATCATATCCGTCCATATTTGGGGTCCTTTCTCTTTCCAGTCTTGCGGTATGTGATTTAGGTCGCACCAGTGGCCGTTTGGCCATCTTTGGAATAGCAGGGAGAGAGGAGTGCTGGATCTCAACGTGCGAAACATCCAGCCATGATGGCTTTCCCTTGTACATGATTGATTGATTGCTTGCTTGATTGATTGATGCCGTTGAGTGTAATGGTATGGCTGTCATCACCGGTTGACGGCGCCGAAGCCGCAACCGCCCAGTGATTGGCCTCGGGCGATGGATGATGGACGATGGACGGTGGACGGTGGACGACGGGTGCCGTTTATTAGGTTCTTTTCTTTCGTCGTCTTGTTCGTGTTGGTTCCGTCCCTACCTCCCTCCCTCTAACCGCGCCCCCGATCAGCCACTGATCGCTGTCACTGTGGAGGGTGAGGGGTTCGTCCCGCTGTTGGTTGTGTTTCGGGGAGGATACCAATGCCCCTAGCCGACGACGGTCTTGTCTCTAATCACTTTAGCATCGAGCCAACAGGGAACATGGGACTACATGAGGGGACTTGTTGAAGACAGAAATGTCAGGACTGACTCGGTTGTTGTAAACGACGTGATGGTTCCAGATTTGATGCTGGCTCGAGACATTTTCTATCAAGCGTCAGATGGATTTCGTGGAATACACTTCGTTTTCCCCTAAGCGATCTAAATACTAGGCAATGTCATCTTCTTTACAGCAAACTTTCCCGGCTCCATTCATGTTGGGTTTTGAAGCGAGGCAACTGATTCATCATCTACCAACATTGGATGTAAGATTATTGGCCCATGACTTTTTTTCCCGGGGCATTGTCCGGACTAAGGTAACATCTCATTGGGCCATGCCTTTGATTCAGCACAGGAATTCATTTGAGATTAACTGTTACTCGGAAAGCCGGGTCGACTTGGACAATACAGAGAGGCTAAAAACGAGATACTAGGTAGTTAAGTCTTCCAAGAGCAGTATGATAATTCAGTCTCAGTTGAATTACAGTAGGCTGTTTGTGAGTCGAACCATGCCTGGGAGGGGGAAAAGAAGCTCTGGGCTCTATTGTCAAAGGTGATGCGCCAGCCATCAGGTGATGATGGATGCTAACTATCTATATCAACGGAACCTATGATTCAGACGTATTGCAGAAAAAAGAAAAACCTGTCCCAGTCAGTCCCAGTTCTCTTCTTGTTGACGACAACCTTGTCACAGTCAAACACGCCAACCCGATGTCGTGGGCGAGTTCCCTAGTGCCCGCCCACTTCTCCCTACGCCATCACAGACTGTCGAGGCTCAAGCAAGCCCTGAATCAAGCACCAAAAAAAAACTGTCAGGGGGTGTGGCTTACGCTAGGGAGATGCTACGGAAACTAGTGCACAGAGCCCCTGTCGTCCAAGGCTCGCTTTTGGATCATTGGCGCTGAACTCAGGTGCTGTTTGGCTTCAAGGCCTGCTCACAGGTTTCGTTTCGTCCCGTTTCGGCCTCCTTTCTCCATCATCATCTTGTTGCTCGCTTCTCACCGATGAATTGCTTGCTTCGATGAAGCTCCTGAGCGGGTATACAAATACGTGCCATTTGCTTGGGCGGATACCGATGATCCAATTAGATCTCTCCCCTCCCAATCTGATACTCACCATCTGATCCAATGTCTCTTGCAAGTTGATGGGTCGTTGCCATATGTACGAATTCCTGTCTGAGTTGTATATTCAGTTCGATTGATGTCCCCCCATAGACGTATTTCCAGGAAGTCTCAGATCAGTCTCGCCATCCTCAACATGTTAGCTGGGCTGGGCTGGGCTGGGCTGAAGGGTATATATACCAACATCGCTCTGATACTGGTCCATCGCGCTGAGCAATCAACGTGAAAGACCAGCACTTCTTTATCCAACCCAGGATTTCGGGAAGGCCCTGGCTGACCCGGCATTTCTATAATCTTATCAGTCCCTCAAGCCTTGATCATGGGTGCAAAATTCCACCGATTACCTCTCCCTGGTAAGGTATTGTCGTGAAAGAAGCCGACATGAAGACTCAATTCAGCGAGTACACGTTTGCATAACCAACATACGATCAACCGTCCAAATCAGTGTCATTATACGAAAAATAGTCTGCGCTTATCATATTCATACCATGTGATCAGTGGAACCGCGACATATTCCATGCACGGCCTTGCCAAGAAAACAACTTCTTTGTCACTTGGCATCTAACACCATATTTCATCCGTTCTGGTGCTTGGCTAACTCAAGCGAACAAGATCACTCACACCCATACTCTATCTTCTTGTCTTCTTTATAAGATGCTTAGAGAACAGTTCTTCCAAGAAGCTCATATCGATCAATGCCCGGTGGGGGAGCCGACAGGGCAGACACGTCTCTGGATGCAACTATTCTGGGCATCTTGTCAATGCGGTTCCCTCAACCATCTAGCTTCGGTCAATTGATGAATCCGTTCCCCGAAATCGACTAATGTCTGATCAGGTTTGTTCCCGACTGGCAGACTGCCTCGCAATGTTTCTTTGAGTACCACCAATCAGAGATAACGATGCTTTTCTCGTGATGTACTCCATCAATGCAAGGTCCAAGGGAGCAAGATGAGCGTTGTTGAGTTACATATCCCTGAACCTTGTCCACCTCCGCGCTAACCCAAATTACCAAAGGATTGGGTCCGAGATACCTTCGGTGCAGATCCCACAGAGTCCGCAACAAAAGCCAGATCTAGCAGTATGTAGTTGGGGTTTAAGTCTGTGCACCACCGTACTTCTCCTTCATCATTTCAATGCTAGATGACATGCAACAATGGGCCTTCAGAGCATGGGATAGCAGCAAGAGATAAGTCTAAACTCAATTCTGAACTCTTCAAGTCACAGTCAAGAATCACCGTCGTCTTACATACAATACAATACCCTGTTGATTGCGAGGAATCCACTCTCAGCTCATCAGCTCACTGATAGCCTACACCTTAACCGAGGCAATTCCAGAAACCGAACCGCTCGTTGCCCTATAGTTGGCTACATATCAGTATGGCTCCTGATCAGGCATCATCAAGATGACTACTGCTGCAAAGCTTGCACTAATCACTTCAATGGGGGCGGCGCACCATGATCTGTGGTGCCAGCCCCCAGATATTCATACCACACGTGCCATAGTTATCTACTGGCGCGATTCGCGCGTTAATGTTACAGTGCTGCCCAGCTTTAGACTCAAACCAAAACGGCAAATACATCTATCTCCCGGGACTTGCGACCGGTCGAGGTCATCAGCGCAAATAGGCTACATATTTCATACCTCCCGCTCCTCACCGCTTCAGTAGCCTGAGAGGCCCAGGGAAGTGGACGAACGAGTGGAGATCTCTCTGAAGGTATCTGTGTGTTTGGTTAAACCGTTAATAGGTGCCAGACCCTGGCAACGAGAGAGTTTGATACGAGACGAAACCTAACCGACACACCTCCATCGAACGAACCCACAATAGACTAGGCTGTACCATCCTGTCGGATCCCTCTATACACACGTACAGTACCTATACATTGGTCCACGTATGACCAGTGTAATGGGATAGTAAGTGCGAATTGCTGGTCAAGAGAACATTTACTGACAACGATGTCTATTTCACGTTGTTCTGTTGAGCTCGTCGATACAAACATACTGCCAAACCAATCTCATCGACAGCTGCACAACATCTATGTCTTGGGATAAACAGAAAACCAAGTTGGAGGAGTTTCTGTCTCCTGAGGGTGTCCTGGAATTAATAAAGTACATACCAATCTCGCAAGATGGGATGGCTGGGGCTGTAGCTCTCTAGCAGGGTTCATCAGTGGTTTAGTTCACCTTACACACGCTTGACCACCCACGATAACGTCGCTGATTTCTCTGAACTGATAGGTAGCAGCGTCAGCATTTTTTAGTAAGTCATTACCGGCCGCCAATTGAGGGAAGCGAAAAGCTTGATGATACCGAAATTCGATTGCCATGTTCATTCATGCGAGACAATGTAATACAAGAAGCGAGTTTGTCATTCGGGCTGGGCTGAGACTCCCCAACTCCGCTATGACGGTACCACACATGTACCTAATTTACACCCCGGTAATTGAGGCCCCCAGCAATCCCTGTCACCTATACCCTTTTGGCGTAAAGACCCGACCAGTTCCAAGCTGTCGGGACAAGCTGTGGGGTCTGTGAAATTGGTTGGAGTTGTGAGACTTGTCCCTCGACTGAAGGCATTTTTACTACTGGTAAGTTAGTACCTGGTCGCCCATATATATAGACGTTTTGGAGGAGGAAAATAGGGACCCATAGTCCGTATGTAAGTGGCCATCGCTCCAGATATCAGTTTCTTCAGCGTCACACCAACAGACACATTAGTATGCCTCTGCACTCAAGGGTCTAAACATGCGACTACACAAAACAAAACAAAAAACAATGAACCCCTTGCCTGCGAGTCTACATATATCATAATACTATTGAGCTAATAAGACTCGTCTGCGCCGACCAGACGATCCCTCGTTTAACACCGACGCAAGAAGACGCCGAACAGACGAAAGATGTCCCGCTACTTATGTTTCAACATTCAACCCTATTGGACAGTCCGAACCAACAGCATACCTAGGTAGCATAGCACCCCCTCAATACCCAGTGAAAGCCACCACACGCCGGCTCGTACTGTAGCTGCGGATTGTTGGTGGTCCCAGCCCCGGGGCCGACCCTAGACTACCTAAGTCCGCCCTCTCACCTCACCTCACTTCCATTGCTTACCTACCTCTCACCCGCCCGCCCTTCTTAGCACAATTCCACCGCTACGGACCAACAGCATAAGCCTAGCTCTACATAGGTTAGGCGTGACCCACTTGACATGGTTGTTTTGGACAATGCTCGTTCTATGTACGTCTAAGCAAAACACGGCTTGTTTTGGAAGTGGTGAGGTTGACTACCAACATACATGAATCCTTCCACCTCGACCTTTTACTTCGCCTGATTCGAAATACCCGTTTTGTTGAGCCGATGACGGCGGAAGCTTGTGCTGTTGTTTTCATGCCAAGCTTATCACGCTGACATCTTGAATCATCTGATGCTTATGTTGACTCATTCAGCTTCAACTTCTGTGGGCATGGTAGAGAACACGCAATTAAGCTGCCTTCATCAAGTGCACAACACGAATTCCATAAGCTTCCCATGTTATTATTGCTATATCACTTGGCTTATTGATTTAGAAGCAGGGATCATTGGCCCAAATCGTAAACAGAAGCTGCCGTAAGATAACCTGATACGGTCCCAATCTGTTGGCCGCGCTGCGGCATCTGCAACCTCGAGTTTTCTTCACCGCATGTACACATGACCCGTGACTGTCTTCGTAAATCCTTGCTGTTGCAATCAACTCAATAGCTTTGTCCCTCATTGGCTTTGTTTGGATGTTGTTTCCCGACACCACGCCGCCCATCTGGTCGCGAGGTCCAAAATCACGTCGCTTTTCAAGCGAGTCGGTCTGTAATCACCACTCGTATTCACCAGTAGCCTTGTGAAAGACATACTCCTTGCCGTTGACTGTCAAAACCCCATCCTTAAGAGTGCACTTCCTGTAATTACGGTTAATAATGAAACAACATTACTCAAGCTCATGCTGGAGTTGACATTGAAACGTACCACTTGTTCTTGACCCGCTGCACCTTGTCATACATGCACAGCATGATATTGCCAAGCCCCTCGTCATCAACATCATCATCGTCTCGGTCCTCTTCTGGGTCATCAAGGTCAGAGTTGATGGCGTCCTCATCCTCTTCGTCGTCATCATCACCACCATCGTATGCGGCAGGTTGCTTGCCCTCGACCATGCGTGATGTCGGGACCGGGGAAGTTCGAGTTGCCTCTTTCAAAGGAAGCATCAGACCGCCGCCCTCCATGCTCTTGGCCTTGGCAAGGATTTGTTCATGCAGCATACGGTCGATCTCAACTCGCCCGAGTTCATGCAAATTGCCATCAGCAGCTCGTTGCATGAGTACACCCTCAAACTCTTCCAGATCGCCCGCGCCATCAGTCTGGCCGTTTTGAATGTGGGGCTGGCCGTTGGCCGGGTGCTGGTGTTGCTGTTGGGCAGTTGTGGCGGCCATCTGCTGACGATACATCTGGTGCTGGTGTTGTTGTTGCTGGGTCAGGCCGGGCTGTTGCTGCTGATGTGGCTGCGGTAGAGCTGGCTGTTGCTGTTGTTGCTGGTTCTGCTGAGAGTGGCCTTGTTGCTGGTGAAGGGCGTTGATAGAGCTGGCCGCTCGATGTCCATACTGAGCCTGCAATTGCTGGGCAGCACGATTGGCAGCTACATTGTTGTCATTCATATTGATATTGGTGTTGTTATTGTACTGTTGGTAGGCCATCGGGTTACCCTGTAAGCCGGGTTCTTGCTTGATCGCTACATGAGGCTCGGTCTTGATATTGTTGCCTTCGGGCTTGATACCATTCTGCACCTGGGGTTGGGCCATTCCCGGTAAAGAAAGGCCTGTTGGATTGCTTAGCTGAGGCGAGAACTGAGCCTGAGCATGAGTCTGAATTGGTGGAAGAGCAGCCGGGGGAGCTTGTGCGGGGGGGTCTGGCTTAGGGTCCCAAGGGAACTGAGCGACATTAAGCTGAGTGAGCTTTTGCTGCCATCCCTGGTTTTGAAGCCATGTTAGCCATCTTCTACATCAAGTATCCTTCGAACAAAAGAATCAAATTCGGGTTAATCATGACACAAGTTCATCAACCGCCTGTGTGCTTGAACCGCATGTCTCAGCTCACTGGTGAAGCAGTGAAAGAACAGGCACAATTAGAGACAATATGTGCAAATCACAGTAAGTTTGGATTTGATAAGCAAAATGGAAGAGAACAGGCAGCCAAATAGGTGAGTGGACAAGAGGCGAGGCAGTGCAAGTGTAAGAAAGGTGTGCTGTGGTAGTGATAGGATAATTTGGCGTGAACAAGTGGATATGAGATGATGGAGGGGGGAGATAAAGTTCGAGCGAGCCAATCAGAAAGCAGCGGGCGTCGGCGGAAGGAGTCACAAGGTAAGTGGCATTCGCAGCAGGGGCTATGGGCTTAAAAGACCCAAATAGTGCTGTGTCGCCCCCCTCACCCTCCCCGTAACCCGCCAACTCCCTCTGCCCCCCCTTCGCCATGCTGCCTGCGATGCGCTCCGCTTCGACCATGAGTCGATCTTCAGCTCTAGAGGCCATCTCGAAAGAGAATTCTGCCACTTGACAGAACCTGCTGTCTTTGGTCTCGCCATACTCGTGGAATATGATGGTATGCGGATTTGAAACACATCGACACTCGTCTTTGTTGATGACATGGGCTTCTTTCAGCCATTCCTTGGTGATTCCCAAGAATCAACGAGAATTGCAGGCAAAACATGAAACCCGACGAAAAGTGTATCTCTTACCTGTCGCAGCTCCTCTAGCACTGATTCTTCAACGCCGCTCTCCTCGAAATCAACTCGCGAGCTATTGACAACCTCGTCAATGATGGCTTGGTAGACGTTTCCGACGGCCGGGTTCGACATGATGATGATGGAATGTAGTCCGGTCGGTGGGTTTGATCAGGATATTTGAGAAGAGTTGGCTCCTCGGTTGATGAGTCGCTGAGATGGCGTCGTCAAGCAGGTGTGCCCCAATGGCAGTTCTCTACACACGGATGACCTTGGCTCTAGCGAACGCAAGGTGCAGCTCGCGATAAGCAGCGCAAATCTGTTCTTCGAATAGACCTGAAAAGGGCCTATTGAGGAAGAGATGTTGTAGTGCGGATGTTGTCGCAGTGGTGATCGAGAAATGCGCTTGATGTAGATAGATGTAATTCGGCACTTAGCCACGACGATGCGATGCGCTTAGCTAAGGGAGGCTCTTAGACGATAAAAGAATTGTTTTCAACTCAATACGAAGCAAAGACGCTTCCGAAGAAATATCAGAAGAAACAAGAGACAAATCAATATCAATTAATTTACTGCGTCACACGGATGCAAAATACCGAAGAGGGTCTTGTGCCAGGTCGGGGTGTTGTGCGGCTTTGTGATGTGATGTGCAGTGGGGAGAGTTGGTAGGCTCTGGGAGATTTCTGTTTCATCAACTGCTAGCCGGGCTGACTCAGCACTCCAAAGCTACCTAGAGGCCACTGAGAGGCTCCGCTCACAGGGCTGATTGACAATGAATGTAACCTGCCTCACTGCGACCCATCTCTCTATTATTCTAACTGCTCAGATGATATCAAATTCGTAGGTAGGCCTTGGGGGAGAAGTTGATTGGAACACCTGGGATGTGAAAACAAACACTTAAGCTTACCTTAGGCTTGGCTACACTGAATCTGGCCTAAGATTTCTTTCGCTCGTGAATAATTTTTTTATGTCTCTTTCACTCCAACAACATCCCTCGGTGATCTTTGTTATTGAATGCAAACCGCACCGAGAGGTATCAGGAGTGCCATATAACATGCATCATTCACCCGGCTTTATATTCACTATTTTCTCCAGGCTTGGAAACATAAAGACTCCTTGTCACTTCCTTACTCAATCGGTCATTCATGTGTTTTTCATACTCATTTATGTGCTTATATGTATCTGATATTGTCACCCATCTTCAACAGAAACTTCATGCCACCAGCCGTCTCAGTGGGTGCGCCTCAGTATTGAATACATATTCGTCCAGACTGATCAGCTCCGGGTCGCTGAAAATGAGATAAAAGTATTTTAGAGTTTCACCCATCCAGAAAGACTCCATTGAGTCCACAGCGCGGGGTCTCTCCTCTGTAACAGTAACATCCCATACAGCTGTATTAGCCAGCTCTGTCTTGGTCACTTCTTCGATCGATTTGAACATAGTCCAGGCATGCTCGGTATACTCGTTCTCGCCGGTGACGCGATACATCATGAAAACACTCTCAATAGCCTCTGGACGCAGGATATATCGGCGGTCAGGAATATGAGTAAACCCACCGGGAAGATGCTCATCTTTGATAATAGCATCCGCCTGTGCGGTCTCGCCCTCCTTGATCTTTGCCTGTTTGAGGACACCTTCTTTCCACAGTTTTTCATCCCATGGGCAATGCTCCTTAGAGTCACAGGGAACCATGTAGAAGGTCTCAGGCATGATACCATGAGGAAATGCTTCATAGGTGTAGATGCAGCCATTGGTCAGTTTGACTGCAGCGTCGACGTCCTGCTGGCGGTTGAAGAGTCGCCCACCTAATGCCAGCATGCCTCCGAGGAAACAGACTAGATGCTGTCCCTGGCTCTCGAGTTCCAACTGTATCTTTCCACCTTTGTCTTTGGCATGAATTTGTCCCGATATAAGAATATCTTTGTTCTCAGGCGTCATCGGTCGAAACAAATTGTGTTCTAATGCTGCATCCACGGCCTTTTCATACATGGTTTGATAAACAGGCAGCTGTCCGCCTGTTAGTGCAGCCATCTTAGGCAAGTACTCGTACACGCTGTCAGCCATTGCACCGAGGGTGAAAACAGATCCTTGGTTAAAGATCTGGCTCTTTGCATCCACAATCAGAGGCCACTGTCCAGGGAGCATGGTCGAATCTTGCTGTGCCGCCAGGAGATCCATGATGGTCTGTGAGGCGTCAAACCACTTGGCATCTCCCGTGAGTTGCGAGAGGCGTGTAAGTTCGATACACAAGCTTCCAATCTCTGCAACGAGGACACCGGCGCCGGCAATCTGATTTTTGCCCTCCCCGGCAGCGTGAAAATTCCAACGCAAGACAGGCATGTGGTTGGGGGTGTCAAAAGCCTTGTAAATCATTTCACCAACCTGGACTGCCTTACGAAGCAAACGCATATCCTCGCTAAGCTCAAAGGCGGCGAGAAAGCCACCGAAATAACGGATAGTAGTCTCGAATATATTGACTTCTTTGAGATCCGTGGCTGTAAAGTCAATCTTGTCGACAGCATCCACGGCTTCGTAGAACTCTTGGTGCATATCCATGATCCAAAGGGTATCAAGGGAGTCAACGAGAGTAGCGGCCCAGCCGCCGAATGGATTTGCCTGGCCAGCCGAGACGGGACTGAGCTCGTCTGCCATCCAGGCATGCTTTCTGTAGGAATTCCAACATCTTGTGAAGGTCGCCTTGACAGCTTGTTGACGCTCGCGTCGCAGTTCAGCAGTACTAATGGAGAAATCAGGGAACGTGGCTTGGACCTTGGGATAGGTGACAGGAGGAGAAGTGGGCAGTGGTTGGAAGGCGGAGTGAGGATAGTTGACTTTGACGGTGTTCCAGTAGTAGTTGTCATCCTGGTCTTGCCTCCACAGCGAAGTCTTTACGGGCCAGCCGTGCTTCTGGTTGTGGTTGTAGGGGCCGTGTCCATATCGGGGTCCAACGTATTCAGGGGTCCGACCAGCCCAATAGCAGAAGAGGATCACTGTGAACAGCCCGCAAACTAAAACGAGACCTCGACTGCGGAGGAGCATGGTAAGAAATATGGGCCCGTACCGCGTAGAGCGTCGAAAGTAACAGAGAAAGAGGGTTTCGAGATGTTGCAAAGAGAGTTGTCTCTCGCCTCTTTCTTTAGGTTGGTGAGGTAAGGGAGAGAGGTAGAGATACCTAAGGGGAACTAATCTTATCCGAGGGGTCTTTGTCTTACCTTATCTTTGATTTGACACGCTGAGCTTGGTAATAAAACAGCTTGGCATTTGTACCATGCAATTTGCCCCGCCAAGCAATGGCGGTATGTATCTTATACCTTGATTTAGGTAGAGGGTACATTGCTTTTAGCTCGGCGGACTTCGACCAAATGTGAGCAACACTACCTACCAGTAGGAGCAGAACCAACACACAGTTAATGTGTATTTAAACACTGTATGTCACCACGCTGAAGCCTATCTAAATACAGTGTCGATTGTGGAAGCGCCAGATAAACAGCATCCACAAAATCAACTGAGAATGAAATAGGTTCAGCAAACTATGTGATACTCTTATTGAAATTCTCTCCACTACAAGATTGTGAAATACCTTTCTGAAGAGTGGGTTCTGTTGCTCTGCTCCTGCTGTGGTTAAAATGTAACTCTGCTGTTCCTGGCAGGACCTTTTGTCGGGTTTTTCTTCACATTTTTTCAAACTGAGACATGTTAAATTCTTTCTTCATCCGGTAGTTATTATTTCCTCTTACGACTTTTTTTCGATGGAACCAGAGGCATGTGCTAATCCTCGGCAGCGAGAATACGGAGCTTGACAGGCCTTGTTCGGGTAACACAATCCTTCGATCTGCATGACGCCCATCGGGGTATTCAAAGAAGAGCTTGACAGGGGGGTGGGCTACGTGAGCCGCAGTATAAGACCGTCCTGGTGGAGGAACTTGTGAACCCTTGGCCATCTGTCTTCCGGACCCCAAGGGTTAAGACCTGGATTGTAGAATCTTTTCATGCGCTATACGCGTTCAAGGCCTACAACGTCGAGGCATGAGCTGCACAGTAATGGTCCTAGGACTTGCCATTGATATATCATATGGTGACAAAGAAACTTGAGGGTAGTTGCCTTTCATTGTACACATATATTCTCCATCATTCTCTCGCACAGTATAACTGAGCTCTCATTACTCCGTACTTGACATTATGAAGCTGGAGATAATCCATGTCAACTGACATGGCCAAGTAACAGCGTCTAAGATGGCCTTGAGTTGCTGACTCCGTCATGCCATCTTGAGCTACCTATGTGTATATGCCGGACTTGGCTCCGTAGAAACCCTACCTATAGAGCAGTCCATTCCATATGCAGTCACTTGACTATGACTCAGAAGTTGTTCAAAGCCGATATGCTTCTTTAGTCTAACATTCAGGTAGATGTTCTTTCAGCACTTGATTCTTTCACTACTTGATTTGAGATCAGAAAATATCTATAGATTATTGCTTCTGCGTTTCTAAAATAACAAGAGTGTACGGTGATTCTTAGCTACTAACCTCCATCAGCTTGACTAATTTGTGACAATATAGGTAAACCTGTCCAGCCAGCTGTGCCTGCAAGTATGCGCTCGTAAAAAGGTACTAAGTAATAGAGTACCGATAGCGGTAAACTGGTAAATGCGTTGGTGCTTTTGCTCCTAAACGTGCCGCTTGGACCCTATTCGAGGGGACACGCTTGCCTGCCAATCCTTGTTTAACTTCCTCCATCTCACTATTTTAGGTAACGCATACTTGTTTAGACGAGCTACAGGCTACCGCATGGGCATGCCTGTATGAGCTACTATAGTCTATAGTACCCCTTAGGACAACTTCGACAAGCCATATGTGATGTGTGAAGCGTCTCACTATCTACAAATCTAGAGATAAAATAGAAGAGGTGCTTAGAAAGAAACAAATACGGGACTAAGATCTCCAGTGATACGACAGTTCTCAACGATTACCAGCATGATAGAGATTACACAATGATTCTCATGAGCAATAAGAAAGAAATCGCTCGCCTAATACCACGTATTCGGAAAGTTGCCACAACCATAATCTACCATTTTGCTGTCAGCCGGTGATTAGTGAGAACTTGGAAGAACTTGACGGCATATATAGTTCAGCTAAG